AAAGCGCGATGCAGGTGCAGCACGTACTCACTTCCAGCCATCTGTTTCGACCGGTCACACTTCATCATCGACACCGTCACACACACATTTCGATATGGAGCGCAGAGTTGAGAGACAAGGACGACGCTTTGAGCGCGTTGTCACCTTCCTACAGGAGCAGCACCATTTCAAAGCAGACACATCGGGGTATGAGTGATTGATCAGCACTTCATTGTCATTTGACAGCCATCACGGTTCTATCATCATTTTTTTCTTCTTTTATATTATTTTAGTTTCACTTTTATTCAACATCTTATCACTAACTTTTTCACACTGGGGACAGTGTGATTTAAGTCTCGGGGAGGATGTCTATCCGTACTAATCATTTTCTTGCTTTGCTTTCAAAATTTCAAGTACTCTTTAAATTTTAATATGTAACCTATTCGACCTTAAGTATTTTTCAAGAATGTTTGACACAAAACTATGATGATTTAGACCTGCACGCTTCAACATTACGCATGATAGCTCATTTGTGGTTAGGACTAGATTAGGCGGTAGCTAGAGTACTTGCACTACGTACTCCCACCAGAGGACTTCTATTCATGGAGATTCTTTCTGACAGGATATACTAGCTCATTTTATTTGACCTTAATATTGACATCTAATTTCCTCATCATTGATTTTAGGCAGGCATCGAGATATACATCTAGGACGTCTTTTACCCTCATTTTTACCACTCTTTGTCGTCCTAGATGACCAGTTCATCTTTATCTGGTACCATACCCTAAACCCAAAGCCCTTGTTTACAATCCTCATGCATTCTCCCTTTAGTTTATATCAGCAGATATGTGCAAAAACGTCGGAGAGAAGAGGAGCGACGCAGTTTTCAGTCACTCACGAGGAAGACTGAATGGAATTGGGAAGGAAGAGTATCAGAAACCTTATTAAGCTTTACAAGACTGATTTTTATTGGTAATTCCGTGCTCTCTATGATTCTATATCTAAAGGTGTTTCTCTCTTTTTAAAAAATAAAATAAAAATGAAAGAAAGAGAGGGAAACAAAAAGCATAATGAGTCTTAGATTGTCGAAATTTTTGGAGCAAAAAGCAACCACTATTCATTTTTAGAGCTATGGTTTTGAAAGATTTACAAAAGTCTAAGTTTGGGGGAGTTAGGAGAGAACCTGAGGAAGAAGACCAAAGATTTATGGCAAGAAAAAAGTCACTGAAAACTTTGGACATCAACAGCTTCACTCTCTCTTGCGGTTTTGCATAATATCTTGCATCCTCCAGATTTTCAGGTAACCCATAAACACTTTAAGCCTAACCCGTAGAATAACCCTTTAGACACATAGCGTAGATTGCCTTGCTTATACTTTCTTTGATGAGAACCACCGAAATTTTAATGAATGTTAAGAGCTAGTTGACTGGAAGTTAGATCTTAGTGCAATAGATTTCCGCATGACGGATTAACGGACTAGTTATTCTCGTATTACTAGTGAGAATTTTATAGGCTATTCCCGATTGATGCATAATGATTGATATTTGTCTAGAAGCTTGGTCTCTGAGATTTTGTCTAGTTCCTGCGTTTTTAAACCTCTCACCGAGACTTGGCCTTTGTTTTGTTTGATGACAAACAAAAGACTAAGTCTGGAGGAGTTGATAACACCGGATTTTGACCATTTTTATGGATCACTTTAATGTCTTTTACAGGTGTTTTTACTTCATTTTTAAAGGTTTTCAAATGATTTCTATGTTTTCAGATTTTAAAAGACTTTTCAGGTAATTTGGGATAAAGAGGCACAAATTGGAACAAAAAGACTCTTTTGGATAAATGCAGACCGTTAGAACTCTCATGGAGAGCAGAAGACCTTATCACCGTCTGATCACCCTCGAAATTGGACAACTTATAGAAGAATCAACCAGGTTTCAAATACACTTGGTTTGGAGACATTCCAACGGTTGGATCTCAAGATATTCCATTTTCCCCGGAGACACTCGAAGACGGCCAGCAAGTCATGTGACCGCGGCCACCAACCTATCTACCGCGGTCACAAGCTTCACGACCGCGGCCAAGCCTCCATTTTTCGCGGCCACGCTACTCCTGACCGCAGCCAGAAAACTCCGATTAAAAGCCCATATTTCTGAAGCCCAAAATCATTTCTCTGCCTCAATTTCGGAACCCTAGAGACCACGGAGTATTGAAGACTATAAATACTTGTCATTTAGGTCGTTTTTAGACACCACCTTCATACTTATACAAAAACCCTTTTCCTTTAGCCGTTTTATGCGATTTTTAGAGAAGATTGTTCAAATCTGAGTTCTTCAATAAAGAAGTTTTCTTTCATCTCTTTTCTTTACTGTTTTTGATTGCTTTTATTAAAACCAATGATGATGTCGACCTCAGCCATGTCTAAGTAGATGCCGAGTTGGGCTTAGGGTTCCCGAAAGGGGCTCTCATAATCGATTAAGACATCTAGGTTTATATATCTGGGATTTTAACTTTGTTCTCTGTTTATTCTCGTTCTTATTGCATGTATGCTTGATTGATCACCTCGTATCTGATCTAGATAGTTAGTGTTGCGAAAGTTTTCATTAAGTATCAAACCTAGAATGAAACAGGCGATTTTTCTGTAGGAGTGGAAACCTACCTGGGGCGAAATCGTGAGTACTGACGAGTGCTGTGCAGCTCTTGTGTTCTCTCCCTTCCACGGCCAGAGTGGAAACCTACTGGTCAGGGTTGCAAGAAACAGTTGGTTATGATCACGACAGTGACTTAGTCATACCGCCGTACTCTAGCTCTAGAACCCCTATATTTCGATATCCGTCAATCCCAATCTATAATCCCTAGTGTTAAAACCGATTATGATCCTTGTAGAGTTCCCAAAAGCTCAGCGTTTTTAGCCATAGTTTACAAACCAATCTATTTTTACTTGCTCATTTAGATCTGCATTTTATTTACTTTAGTTCGATATTTTGCTTGTTTTATTTGCATGTCATTCGATTTTCTATTTACTCTTTAGGATAGATTACTTGCTTATAACACCTGATTTTGACCATTTTTCACCATTGATTTCAAATGCTTTTTCAAAGGTTTTACTTTGTTTTAGGTACTTTTATTTTGATTTCCATGTATTTGTAGTTTCAAGGCTCTTTTCAGAAAACTTAGGGAATATGATGGCAAAATTGAAGAAATCCACATTTTTATCTCAAAGTCAGACCGTCAGAAGTTCAGCCTCAAATGAAGCCTTTCTCACCGTCCGATCCAGCTCAAATTTGGAGACAATCAAGAGGAGACAACCAGCTTTCCATAGCACTTTACATCACAAAGATCCAACGGTGCAATTAAAAGATACATGGTGGAAGACCTTACGACCTATAAATACATTGTTTAGCAGCCCTAAACGGGTGTGTGCTCCTGTAATGAGATTTTGAGCCACCAAACTTTGTTTTTCTAGGGTTACGCGATGGAGATGGGGATTCTTCCCCAGATCCATTGTTCTTCCTCCTTTTTATCTTATTAACTTTTCTGTTTCATTCTTTTGCATTCTTCTATGTCTTTCATCATTCATTGCATCATGTAAATTAGTCCCATAGAGTCAAGTTGATTGAAGATATCGACAAGCATATATATATCGATTAGGATTTCTATTGTTCTTAGCTATAGTCCTACAATGTACATCTGTGCACTTGCAGACACTAGGGTTTTATAAATTTAAAACTTAAGGAAGACTTGCCACAGCTTCAACCCATTTAAAACAATGTACATATATATACAAAACTTCTTCTTCTTCCTTGTTCTTATAATTCTTCGATACTATCTGATGCTTCTTCCCTTCCTTTCCTTTTTCAGGGACACTCAAAGGATCAACACTCAACACCAGTACATTCTAGTTGCAGTGGACTATGTCTCTAAATGGGTTGAAGCTGTGGCAAGTCCAACAAATGTTTCCAAGGTGGTGGTGAAGCTGTTTAAGACCATCATATTCCCAAGATTTGGAGTTCCTAGAGTTGTTATAAGTGATGGTGGAAGCCACTTTGTGAACAAGACCTTGGAGGGACTTCTTAAGAAGTATTGAGTCAAGTATAAGGTGGCAAGTCCATATCACCCTCAGAAAAGTGGTCAAGTGGAGGTTTCAAACAGACAGATCAAAGACATTCTTGAGAGGACAGTGAGCTCATTAAGGAAGGACTGGTCCAAGAAATTGGAGGATGCATTGTGGGCTTACAAGACAGCTTTCAAAACACCTATTGGCACTTCTTCATTCAATCTCCTTTATGGGAAGAGCTGCTATTTGCCTGGCGAACTTGAATACAAGATATTATGGGCTGTCAAGCTGTTGAAATTTGACATAAAGACTGCCGAGGAGAAGTGGCTATTTGAACTTCATGAGCTTGAAGAGGTAAGGCTTGATGCCTATGAAAGCTCAAGGATCTATAAGGAGAGGACCAAGACCTAACATGATCAGAAGATAATGAAGAGGGACTTCAAGGAGGGAGACCTTGTGTTGCTGTTTAATTCAAGGCTCAAGCTGTTCCCTGGAAAGTTAAAGTCAATGTGGTCTAGCCCTTTCAAGATCTTGGAGGTGAAAAGCCATGGAGCTGTTATTCTTGAGGGAAAAGATGGAAATGGTTTTGTTGTGAATGGGAAAAGGCTGAAGCCCTATCTGGTCAATGCAATCAAGGAAGGGGCTACCTCAGTCCCTCTTGATAATCCCCCAACTCATTAATGAGTATGAAAAGTCAAACTTAGTGACTTAAAACAAAGTGCTCTTGGGCGACACCCCAAGCATAACCTTGTACATAAGTCTTTTTAATCTTTTCTCTTTTATGTTTTAGAATGTTTATCCTTGTACTTCTGTTTCTTCTTACCATTGTTCTTATTAGTTGTCTCTGGATTCTGATAACTTAATCTGATGCTTTCTATCTCTTCGATCATCTTTCCTTTCCATGGAGTCTTCTCAGCATCCTTGTTGAGTCTGATTAGACCCCCTCTTGCCCCTCTTCCGATCAGCTCGTCAATCAGGTTTCTCTTTGTTGAAATGAGTCATCCTTGATCATTTTCTTGTTCAGATTGATCCCTACAGTAACTTCATTGGTTTTCTTCACTTCAGTTTCAATCTTTGTGCTCCTCTGATTTTTTCCCTTAACCACCAATGCTTTCTTTTGAAATGTCTCAGATGAGTTTTCAGCATATCCAGCTCTGTGGTGACTTGATTCAGCTTCTTCCTTTGAGACCACCTTTGCCACTCCTTCGCTAAAGGGCATGTGAAGATGAAAACTTTTCTTGGCCATTTCAACTTCAGCAATCTTCTTTTCAGCTTGGTCAAGAATGATGCAGCTTCTGTGCTTAAAGGTAACTGTGTACCCATTTGCAATCATTTGTGAGACACTTAGAAGGTTTTTAGCAATGTTAAGCACTAAAAGCACATTCTTGATTATTCTTTTTCCTTTTGTTGTCATCACTTACATGTCTCCTTTTCCTTTGGTTCTTAGTGCAGTTCCATCACCAACTCGAATTGGAACTTTGAAGCTTGTATCAAGTCTATTGAATAGCTTCTCATTCGGAGTCATGTGGTTGGGTGTAACCACTGTCAATGAGCCAGGTCTTTTCTTCGAAGAGTTTTCCATCTTCTTATCCTGCGGAGAACATATGGAATTCTTCTTCTTCTTGAGTTGCTTGTGCTTGTTCAGATCTTCTCTGTCTGCAATCTTTTGATATGTGACCTTGTTTGCCGCAGGTGAAGCAGCTTCTTGTATCTCTGCTTCTGTTGAACTCAGCTCTGCCTCTTGCATTCTTGAAGTAACACACTTCTTCATTGTGTGTATCTCGTTTACAAAATCCAGACCACTTCTTTTCTTTGTAGTTTGACTTACTTGTGTTGCCTCTATCAGTGTTTCCATTTTCTGGTTTTTGAACCTAGCATGGAAAGATCCTTCAGCATTTTCTTCATCTTCATCTGGGAAATACTTTTTCGCATGGGCTTCCAGAGATCCTATCAGCTCCGCATAGGTAACTGAGTTAAGATCTTTAATTTCTTCCATTAGAGAGGCTAGACCTGCATAACTCGTAGGCATAAATGCTAGCATTTTAACCACCAAGTCAAAATTTGATCTATCTCTACCTAGTGCCCTCATTTGGTTAGCTACAGATTGTATTCTATCAGAATAGGCTTTAACTTTTTCTCCTTCTTTCATTTTCAAGTTCTCAAACTCTCTTCTTAAGGATTGTAGTCTAACCATTTTCACATTTTCATTACCTTGATAGGAATGCTCCAAAAGATCACAAGCCTCTTTTGTGGTTGTTGCAGAGAGGATTTTGTCAAAGATGGTGTCAGCTATGACATATTGAATGATTTGAAGTGCAACTGTATCTTTGGCTTTGAGTGTCTTCAGGTTTGTGGCTTCTTTTGACTTATCTGCTCCTGGTGTTTCAGGTGATTTGATGAGAAGTCTAGAAGTATTTTCTTGACAATCTCCCATAGTTCCTTATTCATCAGGGTCGTCCACATCCTTGCTGCCTAGAACTCATAGTTCTGTCCATCAAACACAACAACCAATTGGGATGACTGCATGTTAATCGCCATTTCGAGCTTCACTTTCTTTCTTCCTTTTGATTTCGTCTTCTTGACTTTTTCTTCAAGTACAGCTCTGATACCATGTTGTGAATCACTTTTGTTTTACCCTGGTAATTTTTCTCTCTTTAGCAAGTTTGTTTTCTTTAACTCTCTTTCTCATTCATTTTTTTTTACTCTGCTACACTTCTCCTTACTCATACATATAGGAGCTTTGTAACTCATTACTTCATCTAGCTTACTAGACTTAATCACTTCACCTAGGTACTTAGATGAATCTTACAAGCAATGTTCACTCTGAACACTAACAACTCTTACAAACTCTTAGCAACTTCAAACTCAGACTTAGTTTCCTCTAAATAAACTTACTTAGTTCAATTGGGCTTAAGTGGTCTGATGTAGGCCCATGATACCAAGAACAATAGACCCAATTCTTTTCCTACAGTTGACTTTCTTCCTTGCTGACTCTTCCTTGAATCCCTCTTCTTCGATACAGCACTTCTTCTTCTTCCTTCTTCTTATAATTCTTTGATACTATCTGATGCTTCTTTCCTTCCTTTCCTTTTTCAGGGACACTCAAAGGATCAACACTCAACACCAGTACATTCTAGTTGCAGTGGACTATGTCTCTAATGGGTTGAAGCTGTGCCAAGTCTAACAAATGTTTCCGAGGTGGTGGTGAAGCTGTTTAAGACCATCATATTCCCACGATTTGGAGTTCCTAGAGTTGTTATAAGTGATGGTGGAAGCCACTTTGTGAACAAGACCTTGGAGGGACTTCTTAAGAAGTATTGAGTCAAGTATAAGGTGGCAAGTCCATATCACCCTCAGACAAGTGGTCAAGTGGAGATTTCAAACAGACAGATCAAAGACATTCTAGAGAGGACAGTGAGCTCACTAAGGAAAGACTGGTCCAAGAAATTGGAGGATGCATTGTGGGCTTACAAGACAGCTTTCAAAACATCAATTGGTATTTCTTCATTCAATCTCCTTTATGGGAAGAGCTGCTATTTGCCTGGCGAACTTGAATACAAGACATTATGGGCTGTCAAGCTGTTGAAATTTGACATAAAGACTGCCCAGGAGAAGTGGTTATTTGAACTTCATGAGCTTGAAGAGATTGATGTCTATGAAAGCTCAAGGATCTATAAGGAGAGGACCAAGACCTAACATGATCAGAAGATAATGAAGAGGGACTTCAAGGAGGGAGACCTTGTGTTGCTGTTTAGCTCAAGGCTCAAGCTGTTCCCTGGAAAGTTAAAGTCAAGGTGGTCTAGCCCTTTCAAGATCTTGGAGGTGAAAAGCCATGGAGCTGTTGTTCTTGAGGGAAAAGATGGAAATAGTTTTGTTGTGAATGGGAAAAGGATGAGTCCCTATCTGGTCAATGCAATCAAGGAAGGGGCTACCTCAGTCCCTCTTGATAATCCCCCAACTCATTAATGAGTATGAAAAGTCAAATTTAGTGACTTAAAACAAAGTGCTCTTGAGCGACACCCCAAGCTTATCCTTGTACATAAGTCTTTTTAATCTTTTCTCTTTTATTTTTTAGAATGTTTTGATGTGTTTTGTGAGGTGGTTCCAGGTCTTAGGTAACTTGGGATTGTCGTGGCCCAATGACAAGTTGAAAAGGACTGTGGAAGAAGCTGAGAGATGAACTTAAGGCCCAGAAGTATGTGAGAAGGCTGGTGTGTGACATGTCATTACGGCTCAACCATCTCGCAGCCAAGTATCGCCCACGAAAATTTTTATGTGTTGTACTGCGAGATGGCCAATGAGTGACCTAAGTCACACTAACATTCGCAAATGGCTGTGACTTGGAGTTTCCACCTCAGAAAACCCATGAACCGTGTTGCACAAAAACTCGCGTGAGGCTCTTAAATGGGACTGCGGCCAAGTCCATCTCGCTGACAAAGGAATGTGGCCAAGCAAACCAAATGGTTCAGGGTGCGAGATGGCCGTGCGATTCAGATGAGAGGACAGCCCATATCGCACATGAAGGCACTTGAGCCTCCGACATGGTTATGCGGGTCAGTTAGGCAAGTGTTTAAGCTGCACTCACGAGCGTTCAAGGCCGCGAGATGGTCATTGCGAGCTGGCCTTCCCCAAGCCTATGTCGCAACATCAAGAAGGGGCCAAGACATGTATGATTGCTGGAGTGTGCGACATGGCTGTGTGGGTCAAGAAAAAAATAATACCATGTCGCATATGAAAGCCTTTGCGGCTCGGAGATGGCTGTGCGGGTCAGCTGATGGATAGACCATGTCGCAGCACCAAAAAAAAGCCGAGACGTGTATGCTGATGTGAACGTGCGACATGGCTGTTTGGGTCAAAAAAAAAGACAATGTCGCACATGAAGGCACTTCAGGCTGTGAGATAGTCGTGCAGGTCGGTGATCAAACAAGCCCATCTTGCACATAAACTCGATCTGGGCCACGAGATGGTACGTGCGGGTCTGTCAACTAGCATGCATGAGAAAGTCAAGGGTTGACTCGTCAAAATAGATCTATGGACAGCTGGTCCAAAACCTGAACTCGACCCAGACACTCCTTCTCCTCCAAAAAAACCCGAGTTTGCGTTTCCAAATCTCTTTCTTTGCATTGTTTCTTGCATAACTCTCTCATTTCTCCACCAAATTCATCGATTCAAACTGCCATGATGATAACTTAGAGTTTTCAGCTCTAAAAAATGTTATCAATCCCCTTATCAAAGTAGTACAAAGGGTAATCAATCCAACAATGTGGTGTAAACACTAATCTATGAGATAGTTTCTTAATCCAAGCAATATGAGTGATTTGGTTGGTAACAAGTGCTTAAAATGAAAACTAAGCAAGACAAAGAAAAGTGGTTAAAGTAAATTAAAGGAAACAATAACAATAAACAGATGATGATGATTTGAATATGATGAGGGAAATGTCTTAGACATGATAGATGATTAAGGTGCTTTAATGCTGAACTAGATAGCTAATGAACAAACAATCAAGCATAACCATTTAATATAGACTCTTAAGTAAGATAATCCTCTCATGAAGGTATTACACTTCTATGCTAATCCTCTTTCATACCAAATTCCCATTTGAGAAGCATGAATTAACAAGCATTAAGGTTCAGTCTAATAAGTATTTAAGCATTAAACCATCACTCTCATGATGAAAAACGCTTAAACCTCTAACAAGCTTGGTTAAGGCATTGCATCAAACACCTTTTGGGTGGTGAAATGCCCATGATCTAGACCAGAGTGATGTGCAAAGATATAGCCTTAAGAACAGATTGTTAGAGAATGGATGATGCATGATCTAACTCCTAAACTCTCTAATTTAATATCTTAGCACCCTAATCTACATATCTAAGACCTTAAAATGGATCTACTCACAAATCATAGTTAACACATTTGATCTTTTGCAAGGAGTGATGTTAAGCATGATTAGAAGCTTTGAATGAGATGGAGAAATGATTAGAAAATGAGAGATATCTCTTAACACCAAGGTCTTTACACCAAGAGGAAGGAGAAAATGAAAATGGGATAAAAGTTATTTAGGGTTTTTGCCAAAATAGTATATATAGTTTCTTGGAACGAACCGGGTTAGCCCGGCAGAAACCGGGTACTTAACCAAGTTTCTTTGGTTCTTGGGTCACACCCTCGGCTTGGAGAAGTCCTATGCCTAGGTGTTTTGGTCGAGGGTGCCTTGCATCTGTGCTGGTGCATGAAGAACATCTCAAGAACATGCATGGATCATCCTCTTATATCTTCACGTGGATCGGTCTTGTGGAGAATGTTGTTTGTGAGCTGAACCATGTGGCAGGGAACCTCCGTATGGTCTATGCAGAGGTAAATGGTCGAGGGATAGACCATTTCGTTCGGTGCAAGCGTACCTCGGGTTACCATGGCGAGGGTCTGAAGCCAAGGGTCTTTTCTATACTTAGCTAAATTCTTAGCTTGAATCTTCTTCACGCAAAGCGTCGGTACAGGTTAAGATGAGGTTAATGACCGAGGCAGTGACCAAATATTTTGTAAAAATAGCCTCGGTATAGCCATACAAAGGTCTCATGGTCGAGGCACTTGAAGACACTTAGCAGAATTTCATGAACTTTGACGATCACCAGTTTGGATACTTAGTCGTTTCAGTGAATGCTTGTCAAGGGAAAAATGCCTAGGCTTGGACCATGGCGAGGTAAATGGTCGAGGTAGTGACTCAGACCTTCGTGAAAATGAGCCTCGGTATAGGTATGCCGAGCTGCCCAAGACGATGTGTTTTAAAACACTTAACACAAATTCATTCCTTGAAGCCCAAACTAATATGTGTGTCTTCTGCTTCCTGTATCTTTTGGCTTACAACTCCAAATGATATGAAACAAATCCCAGATGAAATATTACTTAACCATATCAAACTTTGGTGAAGAACCCAATTGCATCCGGGGAGAGGAAGGTCCTTCGGACGGCTGATTTTTTCAATGCACAAGAATGATCTAGAAATGGCTTCTACACCCGTGTTCTCTCAGATTGCGTTATCTCCCATCTCAGAGCTCCAAATCGGGTGATGTTAAGTTTTCTGGAAATTAGACTCAAAGAACTTGAATCTTGATGAAGGCCTAGGAAACTAAATCGGTCTGGAATGGCATCGTCCGGCTTAATCTTTGAAGCACATTGGAACGGTCTGGAATGGAAGCGAGACAAGTGTGTCTTCTATTGATCATAACTCTCATCTCACTGCTCCGAATCCACTAACTCGCACTGTTCTGGAACCATGACTCAATCCTCTCCAACTATTCTGAAGATTGCAGAAGCTAAATCGGACGGAAGGGTTCCCCGGACAGGTGATGTTTCAGACATATCAGCACAACAAGTTTTAGCCGAGGGCTCATGTACTGATGAACGGGTTTTGACCGATAAACTGATCTCGTGGTAAGCCT